AGTGCTGAAAGTCAGAACTGGAATGCACAGATAATATTATGGTATAATTGATGTACATTATGTCGCAGCTGTGGCTGAATTGTACTTTGTGGATTTGTTGCTTTGGTAACAGTGTTGTTGTGGCTACATGAGCAAGCTAGGAAATATTGACTCATACTATACTACATCTCTGCATATTATGGATGGTTTATATCGACATAATGACGTCATTAAGAGGCAGAAGAGAAACGCATGGAACGCCACTGGGTTGGATTCATTGACGGGTTGATGGATGATACAGTAGATGGATCCATTTCTTAAGATGTCCCCAGGCATGTGGGTGAGCTCGGAGCTAGCAGTCCATACTGTGCTGCTTATTTCATGTAGAATGTGAACTAAATGTAACTAACCTGAATGCCTCAATTAGGTAAGATGATGGTGGTGCCCAAGCACTGGGGTTACTTTTCCATGACAGAGTGACAGAGGTTTGGCCAATATCAGTCACTTCTGGTTTGAGAGGAGCACCGGGAATCCCATTTGGGTCGGCGGGATGAACTGCATGGACTTCAGAATCTGTCAAAAACAAAATACCAATGTGATCAGAACAATCTACCATTAACTGTATAACAAGAGTCGGGACTATGTTACAGTTACATGTATCGACCTGTTACTTGCAGGTATGCCGTCCAGGAAGCCTCTCCATTTGGACCAGAAGCTACACAGGAGTAAAATCCTGTATCACCCAGCTGTGAGGAGGCAAAGAAGCACAAGATGAAATTGGAAACAAGGTGACGCCTCGCTAACTTCAACCCCGCTCTGCGACTTCACCTCCTACCTTGGCGTGGTGAATTTGAAGAGTTCCTGTGTCTGTTACAGATAAACGAGGGTCTCCTGACGACAGCGGAGCACCGTCCTTCTTCCAGTGGACTTTAGAAGATGGAGGGCTGGTGGTTTTGCAGCGCATCACAATTAAGCTGTCCGCAGATACAGTCTGGTTGATGGGACCCTGAACGATCACAGGAGGGTGGTCTGATCCAACTATAAAAAAAGGGTAAAAATACAAATTAAGCTAATTCAACATTTTTGATCAACTGACTGTATTCACCTTCATTTCTCCCTCTATTGGGTTTTTTTATGAGGATATTTTAAGGTCCAAATTCACAAATATGATTTGTGAATTTGGGCTTTACAAATAAA